GAGGCGTATCCAAATAATGAGCAAAATATGACGACACATTTGAAAAAGTGGAACCAGGATCAAATAATATAGAGGCATCCATATGGCAGACTGAGATAATACCTGTGATCACAGCATTTGAAGCAACAGCATCGGGCCTGGCAGGGAGTGCATAGAAACAAGCCTGGCCTCTACCTGATCGGCCTCCCCCTATTGGGCGACCCCTAGCTGACTGAGCTCCACCCCGAGCTGACTGGGCGGGTGGTGTAGCTGCTGGTGTTGATGTTGTCGGCCTAGAACTCTGCTGCGGAGTCACACTCAACAACCTGGGGCATTCTCTCTTGATATGACCAAGATGCCCGCACTCGAAACAACCACTCCTCTGACGGAACTGCTGCTCCTGATACCTCGTGGAACTACCCGTAGAAACCTGAGTAGACGAGGCATGGTGAGAGCTCTATGCTGGTAGTGCACTGAATGAAGACTAGCCTGAGCGAGCAATGTGAGGGTTGTGGCTGGCTGACGCACCACGATGAACTTGTCGGGTCGTCTAAGCATGTCTATGGGGACGACTCCTGCCGTGGTGGAACTCCAGAAGGAATACCACCAAAACTCCCTGATCCACGAGGCCTCTTGGCCTCCCTCTTGACTCGCTCCTGGCGGCGTACAAACTCTATCTCCCGGGCGATGTCAACAACCTCCTCGAAAGAAGCACCGGACACTCTCTCCCTAGTTATAAGAATCCACAGCTGATATGTGAGGCCATCAATGAACCTCTTGATCCTTTCCCTGTTTGTGGGAACCAACCAAACAGCATGACTGGCTAACTCAGAAAACCTCATCTCGTACTGCGACACCGTCATCTCATCCTGACGCAACTGCTCAAACTCTCTGCGTAGCTCCTCTCTGCGAGACTGTGGCACATACTTCTCCAGAAAGAGAACGGAGAACTACTGCCAGGTAAGGGGCGTTGCACCAACAGGCCTACGCCTCTCATAAACCTCCCACCAAGTAAAGGCAGCTCCAGAGAATGGAAATGTAGTGAACGAGACCCCACTGGTCTCTAGAATACCCGTTGTACGGAGAATCCTCTCACACTTGTCCAAGAAACCTTGGGCATCCTCGCCCTCTGTACCACTGAAAGTCAAAGGCTGAAGTCTACCAAAACTCTCCAATCTATGTTGCTCATCATCAGGCATGACTGGTACCACATAATCCTGAGCAGGTGCAACCGGCTGGGCTAGTGGTGCCCCCGGTGTCTGAAGCCCTTGAACAACCTGCTCGGGTGTACGGGCGGCGGGAGTCTAAGTGCCTTCCCCGGCCTGGGAAGTAGCTGTTGTAGTAGAAACATCGACCGCTTGAGCAAGACTGGTGCACACGATCAATATCTGAGCTAAGGTCTCCTGAAGACCTGGGATAACAATAGGCACAGCCGGTGCCTGAGCTAGTCCCGCTGGAGCATCCACAACTGGGACCAGAACATGAACTGGGGTGGCTGGTGGATCTGTAGGTGCTGCCCTAGCTTCTGTGCGGGCTCTACCCCTGCCCCTACCACAGCCTCGACCGCGACCTCGGCCTCTCGCGGCCCCAACTGGTGGTACTGGTGGGCGTCCGTCCTAACTTGTAGCACGAGTCCTCACCATCTGTGAGAGAATAGAATAGCAGAAGTTTAGTTACTAGAATTAACAGATTCGCACGACAAGAATTCAAGAATGTGAAGTTTTCCTAAAGGTTCTGCAGCCTCTAGAAGATAAGTACAGACGTCTGTGTACCGATCCGCAAGACTCTACTAAACATGCTCATGACTTGTGAGACCTATGTAACCTATGCTCTGATACCAACTTGTCACGACCCAAAAACTAACCCTGTCGTGATGGCGCCTTTCGGAACTAGGCAAACCAACACATTTCCAAAACAAAACGTTATTTCAAATTTTAAGATAATCTCAAGGCTATTTAATATAAAACCTTCATAAGAAGCTCCAAAACAAAACAAAAGTGCGGAAAAAGGAAGCCCGACATCGGGGTGTCACTAGTCATGAGCATCTACTACAATTTGTCTGACAATATCGAGACTAACATAGTCCGGAAAATAACTAAATACAACTAAAGGAAGATAAGAGGGAGAAGAGCAGGGCAGCGATCGCCAGGCAACTTCCTTGCCATCTCCGAGATAATCAGCAACTAGAATAGTCAACAGCCGCTACCGTGCCCAGATACGCCTGGATCTGCGCACAAGGTGCAGGGAGTAACGTGAGTACTTCCAACTCATTAAGTAACAGAAATAAATAAGGAACTGAGAAGCAGTGACGAGCTATGCAAATACTGTGCATTTCAGTAAACTTCATCAAGAAATAGGCATGCTTTCAAATTTAGCAGTTTAAGTCAAATTAGTTCGTGCTCAAGTACCAGATAACAAGTCCTTCAGAGAGTTACATAACAAGTACAGGAAATAGTTAAGTGCAACAATAATGGAAAGCGAGTACAGTCTCTCAAGACACAGTCACTCAAATCGTCTCGGCAACTCAATCACTCGGATCTCAGCCCTCAATAATCACACACAATAGGTACATGCGCTCACTGGGGGTGTGCAGACTCTAGAGGGGCTCCTTCAACCCAAGCGCTATAATCCGCACGGACAACTCACGTGCTGCACGGACAACTCACGTGCTATAGTATCAATATCAGAATCCACACGGACAACTCACGTGCTATAGTCTTAATATCATAATCCGCACAGACAACTCACGTGTTGCACGGACAACTCATGTGCTATAGTCTCAATATCCTCACAAGGCCCTCGGTCTCACTCAGTCATCAATCTCTCTAGTCTCCCGGGCAATCAGAAATCATATAAACAGCCCATCAGAAATAATATTATGTATCAACAATGAACAGTAAGGGATGGAGGCATAATAAGTAAGAAAAGCTATGACTGAGTACAAAACAGCAATTAGCTATTAATTTAGCAAGTACACGACCTCGCAGGTCTCAACAGTGATCACAAAAGGCCTAAACATGATTTCTAACATGAAGTACAATCAATTTCCATGAAAACAGAGGGAACGTGTATTAAATAGTTGGCCAATTGATTCCACAGTCTCACGGGACGGACCAAGTCACAATCCCTACGGTACACGCCCACACGCCCGTCACCTAGCATGTGTGTCACCTCCAAAATAGTCATACGACACAGTGTCCGGGGTTTCATAGCCTCAGGACCAGATTTATAACCGTTACTTACCTCAAGCCGATCAAATCTCTAATCCGCGATGCCTTTGCCTCTTGAATCGGCCTCCAAATGCTCCGAATCTATTCACAACCAGAACAATACCATCACTATACGCTAATGGAATGAATTCCACCAGAAAAACTATCAAATTAGACATAAATCCCGAAATTCACTCAAACCTGGCTCCCGGGCCCACGTCTCGGAATCCGACAAAAGTCACAAAACTAAAATGCTCATTCACTCACGAGTCTACCCATACCAAATTCATCAAAATTCGACATCAAATGGCCAATCAAATCCCCAAAATCATCTCTCCAATTCTCTTCCATTCCCCCCCCCCCCTAGTTTCACCCGAAATTCCCAGTTTAGATGATAAAAATCAAGATACAATCATGGAAGTTAACCAAAAACAAGTGAAGAACACTTATCCCAATCACTTCTCTGAAAATCCTTTCAAAAATCGCCTTCTACCGAGCTCCCACTTCAATTTTATGTTATGAACTCGAAACCCTCGTTTTGAATCTTTTAAATCTGCCCAGGTATACCTTCATCGCGATCGCGAAATTCGCCTCGCGATCGAGAAGCACAAAAATGGATTGCTCCTCGACTTACCTTACGCGATCGCAGAAACACACATGCGATCGCGGATAAAAAAGTCACAAAACAACGCGAACGCGTCCAACTCTATGCAATCGCGTAGAGCAATTCCTTCACCTCACGACCGATCCAAATCCTTCTTCGCGAACGCGACCTCAGCCACGCGTTCGCGATAGCCAAACTTAATAGACCTTCGTGATCGCAGGCCCCAACTGGCGATCGCATAGAACAATTTCCCAGCTACCCTCAACAGACCTACGCGATCGCAGCCCCACTCTTGCGATCGCGTATAAGGAAACCAGAAGAAAATTACAGCATCAAACAACAGTCTCTTCAAGGCTAAATATGCTCCGTTAACCACCTGAAACTCACCCGAGGCCCTCGGGACGTCCAACAAAAATACCAACACACCCCATAGCATCATTCAAACTTAGTCGAACCTTCGAATCGCTCAAAATAACATCAAAACACCAAATTACCCTCGGATTCAAGCCTAAGAACTTCTAAACTTTCAAATTTCACAAACGACACTGAAACCTACCAAATCATGTCCGAATGACCCCAAGTTTTGCACACAAGTTAGAAATGACACCACAAACCTACTCCAACTTTCGGAATTCCATTCCGACCCCGATATCAAAATTTTTAGTGCCGACCAAAATCGCCAAAATTCCAACTTTCGCCAATTCATGCCTGATTCTACCACGGACCTCCAAATCACATTTCGGACGCGCTCCTAAGTCCAAAATCACCTAACTTAGCTAACGGAACCATCAGAATTCAATTCCGAGAATGTTCACACATAAGTCAACATCCGGTTGACTTTTTCCAACTTAAGCTTCTACTTTAGAGACTAGGTGTCTCAAATCCTTTCCGAATCCACTCCAGACCCGAACCAACTGACCCGACATATCATAATTTAGCTAAAGAACACAAAAGAAACAGAAATAGGAAAAACGGGGCTGTAACTCATGAAACGACCGACCTGATTGTTACAATATATAATCTATGCACGCGAAAAATTGGACACCACACAAATTACCCCTCTTGTGTGTGGCATTGAAGTATAAAACAACTGTATGTAAGTTTCTTCTTAGTATCTATTTATCTTCTCTTGATGATAGGAAGGAGCACAACCTAACAGTCAATATTCACAATCATATATTTTGCTAAACCTAACATTCCACGACGTACGTAACCTCATAAACCTTGAAATCCTTTCTCGTCAACCAACTTTAAGAAAACACAAATCTTTCGTCTGCGGGTCTATATCTCTCTCGTTCTTGCTGGTTCATACTTTGTTTTTCTATTTTCTTCATTCAATTTTCTGGATGGCAACGAGGAGGAACAAAAATATACAAGCCAAGCTGGTAGGTATGTTCTTCCCTTTGTTAACTCTTTTTAGAGTTCTCTTATTAAATATACGAATCCCAGTCAAAAACAACAAGGGGAAATGATACAATTTCGATGAAACTCTTGTTAAAATGATCAGATTTTCTAATGTTTAATCATGTTTCAGGTACTGCTGGGGGACATGGGCACTGGAAAAACCAGTTTAGTGTTAAGATTTGTCAAAGGACAATTCTTTGACTTCCAGGTTTGGTCAAATGCATGCATAACGAATTCTGATTTAGTTTCCGTGAATATCTTTCTTTTTATCACATGAGTAGTGTTATTGAAACATGTAGGAGCCAACAATTGGAGCAGCCTTCTTTACTCAGCTACTTTCTCTAAATGAAGCAACCATAAAGTTTGACATATGGGACACTGCAGGACAAGAGCGGTACCACAGTTTAGCTCCCATGTACTACCGTGGTGCAGCAGCTGCTGTTGTAGTCTATGATATCACTAGCAAGGTACCCTGGATCTATCTGAAAGATTTTACACTTTTCTTTATTTAAAAATAGTTTAACGTTAAATTCTCGTTTTACTATTAATTAAAACTTTAAATACTTGTTTTACTATTAATAAAATGATTTATAAATCAATCTATTGGGTTCAGGATTCATTTGAAAGAGCTAAAAAGTGGGTGCAACAGCTCCAAAGACAAGGTAAGCAAAATTGGTACACTTTGACCGGCTTACGTTTTGAATCTAAAAAGACGAAAATGAAACAGTTCCGATGTGGAAAATGAACATAAAGTCCCTCCATTCTACTTTATGTGGCAAAATTCGAAACTAGGGTCGAGGTACTTAATTTTCGGTGAGTTTGAACATAGAGTATATTTTTAACTTCTTGAAAACAAAATTTACATATTTAAAAACTTCACAAAAAGTGTAATACTTAATTATTCAAGATATTTATATAAAAAAAAAGTTAACAAAAGCATGGTCAAAGAACGAAGAATCTCTTTGACTCCTCAAATAGTAACATAGTCACATATGATTAATTAATTAATTAATTGGAATAGAGGGAGTAATATCGGTGCCGGATTCAGGAATTTCAGTAAGGGGTTAATAAAAGAAGAAAACATGTTATGAAGTTAAGGGGGTTTTAATATATATATATATAATATAATATATATATTATATATATATATATATATATATAATTATTAAAAGCACGAAACCCCTTAGCGAAATGTCGTTCGCTTTTTTATCCTTTAAAATAAAGTTTACACTAGATAAACCAGTCGTTCGATTATTTTTCTAGTATTTAGGACTTAAAAATTCGTTGAAATATGGTTATTGAGTCTTTTCTTATGTAAATTATGTACTAAAAGTTAGGACCGTAAAATTGATTAAAATGTTATCTTAAATAAAAATCTAAAAAGTCAATTACATTTGGAATGTTAGTACAAAAGTAGTAGACGTTCTTTTGAAGTAGTTTCGACAATTACATGACATCCTAATGGTACTCTAATTGTATTTATGATGAACTCAATAATTTTTTAACATCAATATATTTTTTTTTGGAAGAATAATTTTACTTCACTTAGTACTTGCAAAAACTTATATTAATTTATTCTAATTATGTGATAAATAGTGTGAGACTAAGATTAAAAATTATTAAATATATAAGAAGATAATATTTCACTTTTCTTTTAATTTTATCTTCTTCAATCATTCTAGACTATTATAAAAGCATGAAACTTCAACGCAAAATTGATCGACCTTTTTATCTTTTAAAAAATAAATTTTACAATCGGCAAAATTATCATTTAATTAGTACTTTCAATATTTATGACGTTGAAATTAACTAAAGATCTGACTATTAAATCTTTTCTGCTTGAACTATATAGGAACTCCTAATATTTAGGGATGTAATCATAGTAAGATTACTCATATAAGTCGAGTAAGTTAATTTTCACAAGATTCATAACTTTAGAAATTATTATTTTTATTGGAACAATCCAGGTGACGTTAGAAGTCTTCCACTTCAAAATACCAAGAGACAAAAACTTAACGAGAATTGTACTGAAATCATACTCACGAGCTCACGATTATTTTTAGATTGCTAAATTAAGATTTAAGGTTGGTAATGTTTGAAAATGTTAGCTATTTTTGTTTTTTAAAAAAAATTAATAAAATATTTCCAGAAAGTGTTATCATAGAGTTTCGTAGTTTATTGTACTATCGATAAATCTATCTAGCGGATAGATTTATCATAGAGTTTCGTAGTTTATTGCATGTAGTCGCAAATAAATATCAAGTTAGGGATATATGGCTAACTGATATTAACCTATTATTATTGAGATAAAGGAAGTAACAATATATATTAGCATGTATAATCTCTTTATCGTGATAATGATCAAATCTGCCTAGAAGGATGGCGTAAGAACCTAAATCTATCCCTCATAAAAGTTCAAAGAACCTAAATCTATCCCTAAAGAAAGTTTAAATAATAAAGTATTTGTAGAGTAGAGATCTTCTTTTATTGAGTTAGATAAATGTGATTACATTCATGATTATTTTTCAAGAATTTGGATTTTTTTTAATTTTCTTTTTGACAATTTAGGCACCTTTGTGAACATCATCTATGTAATTTGTATTCATTGATATGAAACTCTAAGACTCGTATGTGTATATATATATATATATATATATAATTTTAACATAGTATATGTAATATAATTTTCCGGCAAAGGGATTCGGATGAACTCCTTCCATGAGTATTATGTACAGAAACACTGGGCTTGTGCAGTCGAAAATGAAAAATCCAAACTGTCTTCATATCTGTTGTACTTTTGGGAGCGGTCTAATGGTGTGTTTGTGGTACTAGGAAATCCAAATTTGGTGACTGTTTTAGTGGCCAATAAGGCTGACTTGGATTCAGAAAGAATGGTGGACAATGAGGTATTTCAGTTAGTACATTAGTGATATTGCATAAGATGAAGTATCTATACCATCTCCAACTGATATTATTGCGCAGGAAGGAGACCAATATGCTAAAGAGAATGGCTTGCTATTCTTTGAAACTTCAGCAAAAACTGCTCAGAATATAAACGAGCTCTTCCATGTAATAGGTAATTGTTAAACATGATCACTTTCGCTTTGATAGGATTTTAAAAATTTCAAGCCAAAACAAATGCATTATATTATGCAGCAAAGAGATTAGCTAGTGCTGCCCCAGCTCACCTAGGTGGAATGAAACTAGGCAACAGAACAGGGGAAGGAGTGAGGAGACTATTCTGTTGCTCTGCATGAGAATACATTCCAGTGAGTTCTTTCTTGGTAAATAATACGTACTATATAATGGTGATGAGATGCTAATTCTGTACTGATTGTGCAGTGATGCATCATTGTTGATCGTTCCCGACCATTTAGGTGCTCTTTGCTTTATCCTACAGGAGATACATGATATATAATGAGGCCCTTCATGACTGAAACAGGGTACAAGTCTAAGCGTGAGTAATGATTATGGTCTTCGTGGTATAGTACGAAGGTTATTGTTTTACTACTCTTGTATCGGATATCTTTAATGATATGTGAACCTTATTTGTGCTGTTAATATAATGTAGTTAATTTCATGTGAACATGGCATTTGGATGATTATGTCGAGTCAAACTGAAATTATCAAGTGAATATTTGTCCGGCTGTTAGGAACATATATTCATAGTTATGTTATGGTAAATATAAGTTGGAAAAAATAGTTTTTTAGCTCATAGTTCGAACATGTTAATTGAAAGAAATTTGATTCACCCCTCTACCCCTAAAAGCAAAGTCTACCATGTTTTAGTCTCCTAAACTTGTGCAATTCCTAATTTAAGGTTTTACAAATGTAAAAGTTAAACTCATTAATTATTCATTGGTTACCTAGTAGTTATCCATTTTCTAAGTGGATAATATGGTTCTTATCCATATTAGACTCATTTCTAAAAAGTTCATTATCCAACTCATTTTGTAATGGATAATAAGGGTGGATAACTTTTTTCTTTTAACCATTTTGCCACCACTAGTTTAAACTGACATTGATTAAAAGGAACTCATGCGTTACAAGTAGGCATGGGTTAAAACTGACATTGGTTAAAAGGAGCCCAAATATGGGTTAAAAAGAGTTTTTATTTCTATAAAATATGCGGCAGACGAAGTTTTGAATATTTGTGATTGTAAGTTATCTCCACATGTAGCATCACGTTCAAACTTTTTGGATAAATCTTCAGTATTGTTGTTTACCTCGAAAATACGAGTAACAATTAAATTTGATTTGTGATTTTAAAGATATGTGATTAAATTCAATACCAATTAATAACCAAGAAATATGAAGTAGAAATGAAAGAAATAAGTGAATAAAACCAATGTTACTCAGCAGTGGTGACCTCGAGCTTAATGACCTCGAGATGGACTAAGAGCAATAAAGTAATAACAATAAATGTAAAGGATAATTCTAATGAATAATACGAGAGAAAAGTAGGATAGTATATTCTTGCCAATGATGAGATGATGTTACAAATGATTGGGGTCCCCTTTATATAATAGGGGAACACTAAATAAGGTATATTTCTATTTACAGTAAGGAATATTCTTAATACAGCTGTCTAACCGCCTAGTACCGAATCGTAAAATTCCATTCCGGGATTTGCGCCATGATCTTGGGGACATGGCAGGAATCTAGCTCATTCTGTTACAAATCCATAACGGTATAATTTTGGGATCGAGCATACTTGACTTCGGTATTCCCTGCATTCCTATTTTTGGGCATTGCATTCCGTCCTCGAGCTTGGATATGGTCCCTTGAACTCGAACTCGGCCTTGCCCGAACTCGGGCCCAAGACGACCTCTCGAGCCTATACATCGGAGGCATACGATTTCGATCGTATACAGATAGTCCCCGCGTTTCTCAGAGCAAGGCGACGAGAAACGATTTGGACCACGATTCTCCGGAGTCTTTAATGATGATGTCATACCCGTGATGTGAGCGTTCGAAATGACCGATACGTCCCGTCGGTTCTCTTCTCCAAAACATTAAATGCATGCCAGTAATGGTCGGCTACTCGGCTTCCCCAATACGCTTGAGTGACTTCTATAAGTAGGCCAAATTCTTAACTTTACAAACTTTACTTCTCAGATTGTTTTCAAAATCTCATTAGCATCTTCAGCTTCTCTGCATTCTCCCTTCTTTTCAATTCGCCCTTACTTCACCATCAACCTTTTCTCTTTTCTTGAATGTTTGCACCATAATGGCTAAAACATCTAAATCTGTTCCCAAAAAGAAAAAGCCTCTTCATTATCGCAGCCGACCAAAAGTAAAACGGTGGTCCCACCTCGTATCGAGGAATGCATTCCCCCACCGTGTGAAATAACATCCAATTTAAAAGTTGAAAAACCCATATCGATACCAGGCCGATGCGAGTCCATGTCTCGATACATCTGTTTGATAACCAAAGATGAGCTTGAGCAGGTAAAGAAGGACTGCAACTGGGATAACAAAGATGTTGTGATTCCCTTCCCAGAAGAGGACATCACTACCAATAAAGCTGGGTACTTAAGCGTGTATACCTACCCATTCACGCTGGCCCCCGCAAATCCAGCCCTGGGTCCCATAGACCTAGTTAGCCTTAATTTTTTCCAACAATACCAAGTGGCACTTGGCCAGATTTACTCTTTATTCTAGCAAATCGTTCATTTGATCAGATTCTTCTCGAGCCAGGTCGAGGGGATGCCTTTCACCCTTGATCAGGCTGTACAGCCCTCGCCTTTATCGAGGTGGCTTGATAAAACTGCAACGCGATCCTCGAAATCTCTCTTTTCCAGCATCGATGAGGATAAAGATCGAGGATGGATGAGCCGGTTTGTCCGAGTCAAGACCTCTGACCTGATTCCTGCTAAGAGGATGCCATTCCCCGAGGAGTGGAACATGAAACGTAAGTACATAGTAACTTTATACCCTGCTTCCTCTCGATTTCATCTTTTTCTCGATCTAACCCCTTTCCGATGCAGCTGTTGCTTGGTTTCCCGGTGCCGTCTCGGACCTCGAAGGTTGGGTCCAAAAACTGGCCTCTACCTCCTCATATGGGGAGCGCTGATGGCGCGATTTAGCCAAGGGAAGATAGGAGGCGAAAAACCATGGTGAGTTCTTTTGTTTGTTTACTTGTGTTTCTCAATGAAATACTTACTTTGTCTTTATGCAAGCTTCGGAGACGTCGTTGCCATGCGGCCGCCCCCGCCCGGTGAAGAAGAGATTCCAAAGCCTTCCAAAGAAAAGAAAAGAAAGAGGGGGTCGCCTGCAAAGCCCCCGAAGCCTAAGAAAAGCGCGGTTCGAAAGCCTAAGGCCTATACCGTGGCCCTATCTCCAGAAACATCCCAATGCCTTCGGGACCAGGAAGAAGATGACGATTGCCTGTTGGTAGTTCGTAAAAGAGGAAGCACTGGTGCTTCGAAGTCTGCCAAACCGGTGGTGGCAGATGCGGTTCATCCTAGAACCGAAGAAATTTCTGAGGGTAGTTCGAGAAAAGTCCCCGAGCCATCGGTCAGCAAAAAGGTACCTCATCTAGGAGGTCATTTGGAGGGTGAGGCCGAGGGACCCGGTCCCGAGGCCCTTCGAATAGAAGAGAACACCCTGAGTGGGTCGTTAGGGGTGATCGATGTGGATGAGTCGCCGCCTGGTCCTGAGTTCTCTGAGGGGCAAATTCGAGATGCTTGGAACATGGAAACTTTTGATGTGGGGACGAGCCACGAAGGGAATGATATCCTTTGAGAATTCCTCGCAAGGATCGAAGATGGCCCCGACCCAGATGCTTCTTTTATTTTCGACGAGGCCCGTCGGCTCTTCAAACAAGTAAGTTTCTGTCCTCTAAAATTACGCTTGTGCTTTTATCCTTGTCGTTCTGAGTTTGACCTATCCCTTTTTGTGAAGGCTGTTGTGCTCCATAAAGAAGCGTTCTCCAAGTCTCGAGCTGAGCTTGCTCGATGTGAGACCGAGCTTAAGTAAATCTCGGAAGAGAGGGACGATCTTAAAACCCTTTATGTCAAGAAAGAGGAGGAGATCAGCGGTCTTCGAGCCGAACTGACAAAGGCTTGTCAAGAACAAACCGAGCTTACCGAAAAGGTAATATACCATCTGAAGTTTTGTTATAGATTTTCCCGATCAGTCTACTAATACTTCTCCTTTGCAGTTTCAACAAAAGAGCGAGCTGTCGGAGCAGCTTCGAGAGGAGCTCAAGATGAAGGAGGCCGAGACCCTGGGGTGAAGGCAAGGCATGGACAGTCTTGCCTCCAAGAGAGATACTCTTCGGGAGCAGCTGGATTCACTCGAACGCCAGTTTCAAAGTGTGAAAGAGGAGAGCCTGGCTCGAGGCCGCAAAATCGAGGAGCTTAAAGATAAATCCGCTGCTGATCTTGCCAAGGCCAAATCTGACGCTGAGGCATTTATAACTTCGTATCGAGCTGACGCTGAAGCAGCTAACGCCCGGGCAAAGGAGATCTCTGTTGCGGCCGAAGTTAAGTTAATATGTGCACTAGACCACGCTAGGCGACAATCCTAGAGGGAAACCCTCGAGGAGGTGCATTCTCGCGGCTTCGATCTCTTAGCCGATATTGAAAGGGCAAAGATTTTGGAAGAAGAGGCTGCCGCTTTGCTTTTCGATGAAGATGATTCAGCTAGTGGCTCCGCGAGCGGAGGAGACGAAGACGAAGTCCCCGAGGGCGAGGTTCCCGAGGATGAAGCTCCCGAAGGTGCAGCTGCCGAAGATGTAGCTGCCGAAATCGTGGCCCCAGAGTAGATTTAAGTTTCTTTATTTTGTGTTTTTGTGAAAGTACTCCTTGTGTAAATATCTTTTGTAATCATCTTTCGGATACAAAAGGGACCTCTTTTTTTCAATTTTGACTTGTGTTGGATTTTATTTTGTCCTTATCTGTGGAAAATTTGATTGCACAACTCAAATGATCAGTTCCACTACTGGTTTGGATCCAGAACATAATTAACCCTTAGGTTTTTAATTGATCAACATAATGCCTCTTAAGGTATTAGGTAGTCCTCGAGCTAAGCTTAAATCAACTGGATGCGAGCTCGGGATGTCGGGACTCTTGAGTCCGAGTTGAGTAAGAGCAAGGTCTCGAACTCTATATATATTTTGGCCCTTAGGCTCTTTTAGGTTGGCCCTTAGGCTCTTTAAGTTGGACCTTAGGCTCTTATATATCGTCCCTTATGCTCTTTAGGTTGGGCCGATTCGGCCTCCAAAGTTGCTATAATTTTTCCCTTTTTTCGGCTAAAAGACTTAGTGAGAATTTTTGTATGCCTTAGCATGTGTTTTTCGTACCCATTGGGTTTTTTGAAGGTTCGACAAATCGAAACCTTATTAGTAATTAGTTTGTGTAAACATAATCAAATACCTCTTGAGGTTTTTTCGAAGGCTGATGTTATCAAAGCCTTTAAATTATTCGAGGGCTGAATTTATCGAAGCCCTTTATATTTTGCTTTTACCGAGGGTAGCCTGATTCAATCGGTTTTTTCAAAGTTTTTGAAGGCCTTTAATTTATGGCAGAATTCGGACGTCTCCGAGCCGCATTATTTCGGCCATAGCCTTTCTATTATGAC